TTCTTGACAATGTTTTGGCCAAAACTAGGGCCATTTTCAAGTCTGGAAATATTGTTATTATTAGTTTACAATTTAATTTCTTTTACAGTTAAAACATTAATTTTCTTTTACATAACTTATTAATCTACAGCTCATTTTATACATTTATGCTATGCATCAATAATTATACTTTTCTAATTTACAATCAGTTATGTAACATAAGTTTTCCACATTTATATGAATTACATTATTACATTAATTGAGTCCTCCAACTAAGTATCCATGTTCAATATCCTTTCTCTTAATCTAAGAAGAATTAATTGTCTATTTTAGGGTTTCCTCTTCGTCATCTATGGAGGGACTGACTTATTATTGTCATGGTAGAGATGGTAAAAAGGAGAGGGGTTTTACTTTATTATTCTATATTGGTTTATTATTTTATCTAAATTGTTTAAATTTGTTTTATTATGATTTCATTATTTTATTACTATATCATATCAATATTGTTAATTACATTAGCATAGAAGGTATTTATGTTGTCTACATCGGTCTGATTATTTACGGAATTCTTCAAATTTTTAGTAAAATATTTTGAATCCATAATTTTTCTTTTATTATTATTATTTCCCTTATGAATTATTTTTGATGTTTGTTTAAGTTGCGTGTTGTGAAAGGCCAGTTGATGTGTTTGATTTGGAATTGCAGTTTTGTACGTGTTGTTTCATTCTTTTTGAGAACCATTGTCCAGTTTGTCCTATGCAGGATTTGCTTGTGCAATTTTTACAATCTATTTTATATATAACGTTAGTTTTTATCTCATATGGTATATTGTCTTTAGTATTAGCATATATTTTTTTCAATTTTATTTAATGGCTTCTTTCCTAATTTATTTTCTGATAAATCATATTCCTTGAATGTCCTTTCAATTTTACTTGTTAATTCTTTAATGTATGTTATTGACTGATATTTTGTGCTAACATGTTCTAACTTATTACAGAATTATTAGTTTTGATTATATTGAATATGGATACTTAGTTGGAGGACTCAATTAAGGTAAAAATGAAATTCATATAAATGTGGAAAGGTTATGTATATGATAGTAAATTATAAAAGTATAATTATTGATGCACAGCATAAATGTATAAAACAAGCTGTAGATTAACAAGTTATGTAAAAGAAAATTATAGAATTTATAAGTAGAAGTATATTTTAATTTTAAAAAGAAATTAAATTGTAATCTAATAACAACAATACTTCTAGACTTGAAAATAATTCTAGTTTAGGGCGAAACATTGTCAAGAATGATAGTGTGAAGTAAATAAAATATTGGTGTAATATGGTCCCCTTAAAGTATGAAAAATGAAAATTAATATAATTTTTTTTTTTTTCTGCTATTCCATCAAAATGAGACAAGGCAACACTATTTGTTTTGATTTACATAAAATTCCTGCTTGATAACAGGTATTTAATCATTTAAACAATTAAATATTATAATGTAATAGTTTCAAGCAGAAAAAACAAACTTGTTCTGAAAATTGTTTGTCTTCTATGTACATATTTGATTAGATCAACAGTATTAGTTTTAAAGATAAACTAACAAAAATTTTGTAAAACTGTTATTATTTTAATGTAATGAAAATAAATAAAGTACTAATAAAGAATTGTTTATTTAAATAATCTTTTCGTTGATATGAATGCTATCGAATCTGAAAAACGCCACTCTAATATCATTATCAATTCAGCTCAAAGCACGAGGATGTTTTAATTTCCACACTAGTATTTGCTTTTATGAGTGTTTGAAAGTTTTTTATTCACTCTATAAAATTTATTAATTAAAATTACAATTGCTAGAGTGCTGGTTTGAAAATTTTTCATATTTTCATATACGATAGTTAACATTGGTATCAACGTTGTAAACAATGTTCCACTAACTTCAAAATTTTTGATCATGGTGAGCAATATACATTGAGAGAAACAGAAACTACAAGTTTACTTTGTATGGATTTTTTAAAATTTATTTCTCAAATAAAATTCTGGTCAGTAATTCAAAGCAATATTTGTTTATTTTATAACACAAAATCAATGAAAGGTTCACTTGTACACCATCAGCTAATTATTTTGTAAATTTAAAACATAGCAATGGTTTAAAATTATGAGATAAGTCAATGTCAAAAATTTAAATTTGATTATATTTAATAGTACAAGATTATTAAGTTTTAGCCCTTAATCCATAAGTATTTTCGACCACTCAGACTTTTTCTTTGTTTTTAAAAGAGAATTTGAAACTAAAAAGAATATTTTAAGAAGTTTGTTGAGAGTGTGGTCAGTAGATAAACAATATATTAAAGTAGTATTTAATCAAGGTTTGATAAGATAACAATCGATTGGGTACCAGGTCACTCTGGAATTCCTGGAAATGAGATGGCAGACGAATTAGTCAAAAAAGGCTCACAAACAACACCCATAAAACCACAACCTACCTGCGGTATTATGTGTCTAATCAAAAGTAGAATTGGGGATTTATGATAGTTGTTGCTCGGCAGAATCTGTGCAAAGAGAAGTAATCTACTAATTAACATGAGCAGGAGTTCTCTTGAGAAAATAACTGCTATCTATACAAGTCACTGTAAACTGAACTATCATATATTCAATCTCTGACTAACAGATTCGCCTCTGCGAATACTCTCTGTAGTCGGGAGGATGAAACAGCATATCATATCACTTGTTTTTGTGACAAGTTTGCCGGGTTTAGATTTCCTCTGTTTGGTATTGATAAATTGCTGGAGCCTAGGGACAATGAGCTTGTCGATCCAACAAGCCTTCTTCAATCTACAGATACTGCGGAAATATTGCTTTGATCAGTGGTAACATTAATTAGGGTGCATTATAGGCCTTCATAATTAAGGTGCTTATTGCTACAAAAAAAAAATTAGTATTTTATTGCATTTAGATTTCGAGGCCACTGCTTTTTTAACCTTCAAGGAGGATTGTAGGGATGGCTGGAGCTGGATAAGGATTGTGCTAAGGGATTATGATGATGGATTAGGTTTTGATGAAAATTTAAGAAACGGGATGCGGGACTGGAAGGATTGGATGCGTTTGATGTTCGAAAATTTAGTTGTCCCCCACAGTTCAAGTCCGTAGGTCCAGATGGGTTTCAGTATGGTCTTGTATATTAATAGTTTGTTTTCAATTGAGAGATTAGATTTTCTATTAAGTAGTCTGTATAACTGGCCAAATCGTCGGTTAAGTTCTTGTCTTTTTAGTCTGGTATGTGGGTTCCATGTTAGTCTTTTGTCTAAAAGGAATCCAAGATACCGAACTGTGTCTGAGATGGGAAAAGGTACTGAGTTGAAAAGGATAGGTGGACAGGATCTGCGTCGGAGGGTAAAGGTGACCTGCTTGCATTTGGATTCATTGATTTTGATGCGCTAGTTGTTGCACCACTGCTCTATTAGGGAGATGTGTCTTTGTAGCTTTAGAGATGCTGTTTCAGGGTCTGCATGGGATGATAGGATGGCGGTATCGTCAGCAAATATTGCTAGAAGGGAATCAGGATGGGTTGGTATGTCAGCTGTGAAAAGAATGTAGAGAACTGGGCCTAAGACACTGCCTTCTTAAATTCGAATTACAGTCAATATCTCCATACCATTAAAAAGAATATTTACTATACAAAGTTAAATGTGCCTTAAACCTACATGCATTAAGGAAACTTAACTGGAAATCAAATTATAATTGAGTTCACTATATTTTCTTCACAATATGTTTATATAGTTTTTAATAAAAACCACAAGCAATGCTGGAATTAGAGAAAACTGTTTTTTTTTTTTTTTTTTTTTGTAACAAAATGATCTTGAGTAAGAAAATGGAAGAAAAAAATCTGAGAGACCAAAATCCAAGGAAATAGAAAAAGCTTTCCAACCATATAGATGTCCATTATGACATTATCCCTTTCTGAATATTACAATAACCATTTAAAACCCAATTCCATAACTTTAAAATTTGTAAGGAATATAAATCCTTCACCTGTTGTATCTTTGAAAAAAATATCCTCATAAAATAGTTCTTGGTTTATTTTTCCTTACAATATCTTCTTATCCACCTTTTTATTTCATAATAGATCACAGTCCCAAATCTCTCTGGCCTTCAGTTTTTGCATAATTAGCTTTTATATGAAAAAAACAAACCCAGGACTAATAAAACAATTAATGATTACAGTGTTATTGTGAAAGTTGGTTCAGAGCCTGAGTGCATTAAGACAAATCACCAAATTGGGCACAAGTTACCAAAAACTCCCACAGAAATTTAGTTTCCCAGAAGCTCTAATGTTACCAGCAATATACATTGCGTGATAAATAATAAAGTAACAATCTGCACTCTTCATAGCAATACAGGAGGCGATGAGCAACTGTGTGTGCTGTAAGATATTTTTTACTGTGAACAAAACCTAATCAATTTATAACTAATTACAACAGTGTTGGATTTACAAACATTTTGATTTGGTATTTACTGTTTTGGTTTTCATTAATATAAGGGTATTAGTGTACAATTCTAAAAACAAATTTTCAAGTCTCTCAAATAGTAGTAAATAACTAACCTGCCAAAAATCGAAAATTCATAAATCAACAGAGCAGAAAAAATTAAGAACACATAAATGCAGACCAGAAACCCACATCCAATATTAAAATTTTGAATAAGACTAGCCTAATATACAGTAGATCAATCCAAGACAATTCAAAAAATACTGAAAGAAACATAGATAATACTCCCAATGTTCTACTTCCCTTCAGTATTGGTTTAATTGTCTTTGAATAATGTGCTACCACTATAAGTGGTATTTTTGCCAGTGACATCAAAGTAAATGAAGTAATCAGCTGGTGATTAGGCACATATATTAGAAAATAAATAAAATATAAAAATGGTATTATTTGTATTTATATAACAAAACAATATGAACAATACTAAACATTTATATACACATATACAATATATTCAATTTTCTAAAATCATGAATAGAATATGAGAAATCAAAAACATAACAAATGCTAAGATTTTTGTAAATTAACAGCAGCACTTGAAGCTGGACCCATCAAAACTTTCCTGGATAATCTCATTTGTCCAGAGACAGGATCCAAACCAAAATACTTAACTTGGATATCTTGACCAACTTGTAAATTAAGAGCTCTTGGATCACTTACCTATGATAAAAAAAAAAAAATACTATATTAAAATTATAATTTAGTGTCTCAAAAATAATTAATTTTAAAAAATATTGAAAAATGTGAATAATAATCATAATATGAGAAGGAGTTAGTTGAGGGTGCGGTCAAATAAATACAAAAAAATTAAAAAATATAAATAATTTTAATTTTTGCCGACGTTTCATAATCATAATAATACTAATAATAATACTAGAATGATAAAAAATCATAATAATCATAATAATAATCATAATAATCATAATAATCATCATAATAATCATAATAATACTAGAATCTACATAAGATGTATTATTTGGGTTTAATTTATAAATAATTTAGTCATGTATGCGAAAATAGCTTCACGTGAAGTTAGCCTCAGACAGTGAAGCAATATCTATAAGATTATATAGGTTGTTTAGAACGGGTGGCCAAACCATGCAGTATGCTTCAAATGTGGCTCATGGGTAAGGTGACCAGGCATCACGCTTTCAGTGGGACAATCCAGATTTTTAACAATTATTCAAACGTCCCATGGCGTTTTCAAGAAGTCCCGATTTTCGGAAAGAATGCAAGACAAGCTAGGGACCAGGAAGGGGAAGAGAATATACAGTTTTTGGCGGTCCTGTTGCTATTTCGTCAGTATATACGTTTTTTATCATTTTTGTTCATTATAAAATGTTAAACTTAAATAATAACCAAAAATTGTTAAGAACTGATTATCAAGAACTGTCTAGCAACGTTCTTATTGTTGATTATTTGTTAGAATTCGACCACCATCTTATGGACTCAATGATAATAAACAACCCAAAAATGATCTTTTTAATCAGGAATCCTTAATAAAAAAATATACTGATAAGGAAAAGGTTAAATCTTGGGCATCAGGAAATTAACTTCATTTATTACTTTGATTATCGAAATGTTGTTGCCTTCAATAAATTTTTAGAATTTTGAAAAAGAGCTGCTTGATTGAGCTGCAAGCACAAAATATTTATCTTAAAAATTGTGTTAATCTTATAGTCATAACTTAGATGTCAAATACATCATAAAATTATTCGCCCTCAAAAATATCCCTTTAGAACTTAATTCTCAACCTTACTTCAGCTGAATACTATGTCACCTGATTAACATTTGCACCAGATTATTATATTTTTATTTTTGTCCAGCCCTTCGTCTCCTAACGGGCTATATGGGGACTTCCCGAGCCAGAGGAGAGAGTGAAGGATTAATGCTCCAGAGTTAAAAACCTCTCGAAACCGGGATGTGAACTTTTAATTATTTTATATCTTGTTAACTTTGGTTTATCAATCAGCTGGTTGCCGGGCAATGTGTGTTTAGCATAAGCGTTAGTCCGCCATATATATTACCATATCTACAACTTTTCTCTGCAAAACTCTATATTCCCATCCTCCTGGAAAACAGCCCTAGTCCGACCTTTGAATAAAATTCCCAACCCTACCTTACTGCACGATTTCCGTCTTATTTCTCTCCTATCCAACCTCTCAAAGACGTTAGAACCCCTTGTCCAAAATCAACTCTCCAACTTCCTAGAAGAATGTTCCCTTAACAACCCATTCCAATCTGGCTTTTGACCTGGTTACTCAACGCAATCCGCTCTCCTTAAAATAACCCATGACCTACAAAACTCCATCGAACACCAAAACCTTACCATCCACATCCTTCTAGATTTTTCCAAAGCGTTCGACACATAAGATCCACCTTACGAAATTGCACAATCTTCCTCTATCCAACAGTGCCCTGCGCTGGTTCAAATCCTTCCTTTCAAATCGGTCCCAGTATGTAGTAGTCCCAGGGCAACCTTCGTCTAAGACCCTTACTCTCTCCTGTGGTGTCCCTCAAGGTTCCTCTCTATCTCCTACTCTGTTTGCTATTTACATTAATGATCTTCCCCTCATGATCCATCACTCCTAATACCATATCTATGCAGATGATTTCCAAATATACCTGTCCTTCCCACTCTCCGACCTATTATCTGCCACATAGAAACTACAAGATGACTTGGATAGGATTTGTGACTGGGCGAGAACTAACAAGTTGAAGTTGAATGCGGGAAAGATGAAGGCAATCTTAATAGGCTCCAATTACCTCCTTAAAACTGTTCCTAATATTCCAATTCTGTTCCTGCATGATAATCCCATCAAATTTTACCCCACCGTCGAAAACCTTGGAATAACCTTCAATCAAACACTTTCCTGGAAAAACCATGTATCCAATATTTCCCGCCGTACCATTTCCACTCTAAAACGTCTAAATTATTCTCGTCACCTATTTCCATTTGAAACCCGTAGGCTCCTAGTCGCTTCTTTAATTTTCCCCAACTTTGACTATTGCTGTTCGGTATATGGGGGCGTCTCTGGTGATCTCGAGGCGAAACTAAATTTTGCCCCTATAATTCCCGTAATACTCGTTCCTGGTCTTCTGACTTATATATAAGGGCCCACTGAACCGCTGCTTTCGACAGATCTTTCATTATCCGATCCTCATTCCTTTGGAACTCCATCCCTTCTCACATTTGACAATCTAATACACTTCCAACCTTTAAATCCCGTCTGTTCAATCATTTCTTATCCATCCAGTCCCCATGAAATTGTAAATAGATACTAATGTAAATATGTATATAAATTATTAGCTCGTTCTTCATTATTTTTACTTCATCCTTTTTATTTAATTTCTTAATTTTTAATTATTAACTGATTAAAATTAGAAAGTAACTTATAATTTTTAATTTATTACTATGACTGTTTAATTACTCTGTATCTTTATTTATGTATCTCTGAGACTCCTTAGCCCATATTTATATCTTTCTGTATTATTCTAAAGGGACTCGTCCCAGAATAAATAAAGTATTATTATTATTATTATCTCTTTATTTTCCACATATACAATAGTGTTTATAATATGTAATAGTTGGGGATCTATTGGGTCAGCCAAAAATTACATTTATATATTTTCATAATTATTTAATATTTGTGAACTTCCTGACTATACTTGCTGTTTCCAACAACACCGCTTGTTGCATTCTTTCGATCTAGATGGTAGTTCTAGTTGTCGCAGAGAAAATAGAGTTTCTTCAGGTATCAGTCCGTTGCACGAGATTACAATTGGCAGAATTCGTGTTTCCTTTAAATGATACAATTGTTTCATCTTTTCAGCTAATTCTATGTACTTTCTCTTTTTTCCGCTACTACCTTGTGTAGATTATCATCAGAAGGGACTCCAATCTCTATGATAAACGCAGATTGCTTACCTTTATAGAATGTCTGGTCTATTGTGGGGGATGGTGTGATCCGTCAGGATCGGTTGATCCCAGAACACCTTGACATTGCACATGGAGATAATTGGTTCTGGATGATATTTATAATACGGACAATATTTATCGACAAGTTCCATTTTCTGAGCCATAGCTTGATGCACTACCTTAGCTGCATTGTTGTGTCTCTGCAAGTATTCCTTACCCGCAAGTATTGTGCATCCGATGTTACATGTTGAATTTATTATTATTATTATTATTATTATATATATATATATATATATATATATATATATATATATATATATAATAAACATAAGAAAATAAAATAACACAAATAAACAAAATATTTTCTGGGGAAACTTAAAAAGTTCTCTAATGTACAATTTTTGATCAGTCAGATTGAGAAAGGAGTAGGTACTTAAAAAAGAGAGATTTGAATGAGAAAACTGATTGTGCATGTCGGATATCAGGAGGGATAGAATTCCAGACAACTTGAATTACAAAGGATTCGTCAAACAAAGCAGTTCGGTGGGGATAGAGGTCGGAGGTACGGGATCTAGTGGAACAAGAGTGAATGAAGAATTTGAATTGTAGGCTCTGAAGAATATAGAGAGTCCCTGATTTCTAATGGTCCGGTATAAAAAGGTAACAAGGAAGTAGGATGGATAGATCCACTTCAAGTCGGTGTAATACTGGGTAATATGCATATCTCTTGCAATCCCGAAGACAAAACAAATTAAGACATTCATTAAGTGTTCAAGTTTGGCTTCGAGTTCTCCCGAAAATCCACCGTACACCATACAGCCATAGTCAAAGTGGGGGAAAACAAAAGAGAAAATCAGTAGTTGACAGGTTTTGTATGGAAGTAGATAGCGTAGACAGTTGGACTGCTTCGGGAAAGAAATAGTATGACGGGAAATTTGGGAGATGTGAGGTTTCCAGGAGAGGGTTTGATCAAAAATAACACTAAGGTTTTAAATTGAAGTATAGAACAAACTAGGTAAGTTTTTTCAGGAGAAGATTGGGAGGTACAGGAATAGATTTAATGAGTGAGGGGAATTTGATCAGGATAGCTTTCGTCTTCTCGGCATTTAGAGTGAACCTATAGCAGTTTGCCCAAGCGCATATTCTGTCAATATCTTCCTGACGTTTTAGAATGGCACCAGTGGAATCAGTCGGATCAAAGGAGAGGTTATTTTGGATGTCATCAGCATACAGGTGGTATTGACAGTGCAGGTTAGAGGACGGAAGGTCATTGATATAGATGGAAAAAAGGGTGGAAGATAAGGAGGAACCCTGTGGAGCACCTCTGGACAAGGGTAGAGACTCTGATGTAGGTCAGTCACATTCAATTAAAAAATAGTTAGGTGTTCTTTATTCACCATGAGATCATAAACATGACTTAGATAAAAACTTTAGTGATGTGAAAGTTGATAGGTAAGATAGCTTCTTTCAGATCAAACAGATACATGAAAATAGTTCAAAGGCTGTAAGTGGAGGATTAAGAGACAAGGTGGAATGTTGGCTGTAGGTTGGACCAATTCTGAAATACAAGGAAAAGGACCCACTTTCAATGGTGGTTGGTTTGGGGGGATCCGAACAGGATGAAATTGAACTACGTGTGGATTCTGAAATGGTAGTTTGGACACCCAAAACCCGGAGGATGCTGATGTTCATGTCATCATGTCTAAATAATTTGTTTGAGATTCTTATAGGCATGGAGGAGCAACAGTTGCTAAGACCAAAGGTTGATGGTCAATGCTGAGGTAAGTATCTGTTGAATATCAGGGAAAATTTTAACGATAGTATTACCAAATGGCCATTTGGAGGCTCTTCAAAACATATGAAGAAGTGAAAAAATGGGTCTCTGAATGGTTTGACTTAAAACAAAAAAATTCTATTGGGACAGTATCCAACAAATCACCTGAAAGATGGACGACAGGCGATGGACTATACTTTAAATGAAGTACTACTCTCCTGATCTTTCTTTAAATTAAAAAAATCAATAATATTAACAGATAAAATTGTTTATTAATGATTTATTTTTCATTTAAGCCTCAAAGCTCCAAGTTATTTATAAACTATTAAATAGGGACAATACGTCCCACAATGTATTCAGTTTTTATTATTATTAAAAACATATTAGAAGAATAAGTATTTAATTAGGACTATCAAATAAAAGATAAACCAACCAACAGAAATGGCTGGTTAATGATTAATGAGCCACTGCACTAATAGCCTTCCCCTCCCTCCCCCCACACACATGTATAAATCAATAGTTCTCTCCTTCTGAACTGAATATGATCATCATAAAAATCAAATATTTTTAATAATAACTTTAAACTAAGTCCAAAACAAATACAATAACTAATAAGTTCCATTGCAAATAAATAAAGTTCTTCACACATGAAAATCAAAAGGAAACTGATTTTTTAGTTTCTGCTTCATTTAACATAACATGCCTATTGCCATATCTCTGGTCTCTGGCCATAGCTAGTTAACTTGACTTATCCTCACTTTGCTTCAAGGTGGTCATTCTCTAACTCTTGAGCTCTTAGGCCATTGGTAAAATTCGGTGACTCTACTAGTTACTCTAGTAACTTTACTCTAATAGAGTTACCGAATTTCACCAATGGCCTAAGAGCTCAAGAGTTAAAGAATGATCAACTTAAATTAATGTGACGATAAACTGATTTAACTAGTTATGGCCAGAGACCAGATATATATTTATGAAAGGCATCAAATAAAATACAAGCCTGTTGCATTAACTTATAATTAATATTTAAAAAGCTTATTAATCCTAAAACAGATTTTTAGACCAACTAATTCCTACTACAAATCCCCTAAAATCATTTATTTTCCAATGAAAACATGAGTTGAAATTACGACAAAGATTTAGTAGAGATAGAAAATAGATTTAACAATTAAAAGAAAATCTGATTAGAGATAAAATACCTTCCGCTGATCAAGTTGTGAGTTATGTAGCAAAGCTGGTTTCATTGAATCATAAAGAGTTACCATAACACCAGATTCCTTAAGTTCGACAATTTTTGCAGTATATATTCCTCCAAATTCTAATACTGGCTCTTTGTCAGAATTCACAATGTTATTAATGAACTCTTTAGCTTCAAACATAGCGTCTTGATTTGGAGCAAATATGAGGTAGTTTCCTTCATCCTCTTGAAAAGTAACCTAAAAATTATATATGGATCAGTTTTAAACTTATAATATAAATAAATTTATAAAATATTTTGAGACATATAAATACAATAACTTCATAAATAAAATTATATGCACATCTATAAATAACAGGCCACGAGTTACAAGCTAAAACATTTCAATTATTATTATGTAAATTATTAACCATTATGTTCAGTTGAGACCAACTCTATTTGTATGGGGGCAATCCTCAAAAATAAATAGATAAATAATATTATTATGTGTTATGATAAATTGATAAGCAGGCTGCATAATGAAGCAACCCAATGTATTTGGATAGCACTTTTGATAAATAAAGTCTCTTTCTCTCTCTCTCTCTCTCTCTATATATATATATATATATATATATATATATATATATATATATATATATATGTATATACATATTATTAAATAAGTAAAGTATTAATAGAATCATTGTAGATGTAAAATTCAACATTAAAGACATACTTGAACTCCTGAGTTTACTAACAATCGTCTAATGTTAGTTCCTCCAGGTCCAATAAATTTACTTCTTTTATTAGCTGGAATTTCAACTGTTTCCACAACAGGCCAACACTTTTTTTCAATTCTGTAATTAAACAACCAGTTTTTATTCAATTAAAAATATATGTAAATATAAAGTGAATGAGAACTAGAATTCTAGCCAAGCTGGCAAGACTATTTTGTCTTCCTTACTTCCATCCTCTCAATAAAGGTTAAAAATTTTATAGTAGTATTTCGGGTGAGTAAAATATTTTTATCATTTCATAATATTAACTCACTGAATTGACTGAATTAAGATCAGGACAATCAAAAAGAAGAAACAATTATTTTTACTTAATTCATAAATAAAATTTTGATAGAACTTTGCCATCCAGGCGTGCTCCTTTAACCTACTTGTTCTGGGTGTGTGTGTATGTTTTTTTTTCGGTTGGCACTACACACCATGAAGATTTTTCTTTGGCCGCGAGATGTGGTTTCCTTACAGACGTATGTTGCTTGCAGAAGCTCAGATAACCTGGAGGGGGTCACCCAACCTCACTTTGCTATGAACCATGGTCTCCATGGTGCAGCGGCAGGACACTCGTAGCTCCATAGCCGATCCCTTTGGGGCCAATCTGGCAGTGTCCTTTCCACCAACTCACTCGGGTTCAAGGACAGTGACAAATCGGTCTAGATCCATGGATAATGGCTGCTCAGAATCAACAGGCGTACAAGGGCCTATATTTCTTTTCCCGAAACAGACCATCCATGGACCGAACCTCAGGAGGTTTTTAACAGTTTTATTATTGGGCAAAACAGGCTCTGCGATGAGCGCTTCCTTACTTTTGTAAAACCTATTCAGATGCTCACCAGTAAAGAGAAAAGAACTACCTTTCTTCAAGAGCTGAGTGAGTGGTAAAATTATGTCAGCCGCATTGGGTAGAAACTTGTGATAATAATTTATCATGCCCAAGAAACTTTTAAGTTCCTTCTGATTAGTTGGTGACTGCACCGGAATGATGGCTTTGACCCTGGATGGATCTGTTTTGAGCCCTTGTTCAGAGATGATATGTCCTAAAAATTTTATTTCAGCTTGGAAGAAATGGGATTACTCTTTTGACAATTTTAAACCGAATTCTCGAATCGTCTAAAGACCAAAGAGCTAAAGATTATAAGATCGCCCCTAGCGCGCAGAGAAACTTATCTATTAATCTTAGAAAGGTGAGCTGAGCATTTTAGAGACCGAACGGCATTCTCATGAATTCATAATGCCCCCTTCCAAACCTGAATGTTTTTTCAATAACCTCCTCTCGCATTCTCACCTGATGGTAATCAGATTTCAGATAGAGGGTGGAAAAAAGGCAGGCTTCTGCTGAACGATCTAACATATCTTCAAGTCTGGGAAGGGGGTACTGTTCCTCCATAGTGTTTTCATTAAGTTTTCTGTAATCGATTACTTAACAATATGAGGGATCCCCTTGCTGATTCTGTTTCTTTTTCTCTACTGCCCACAATGGACTACTAAATGGGGAAGTGCTATACCGTATAATAATACCTTGAAGAAGGAAATCGCGTATTTCTTGATTTATTATTGCTGTCATCAACTGCAGATACCTATGCCCTTTAGTATATGTAAAGAGACTTTGTTCTCTTTAAGTAATATCTGATGTGTGGTTTTCCTGGTCACGGGTAATGGACATCCTTCCTTGTAAAATATGTTTGAAAATTCTGACGACAGAAATTCTAATTCGGATTCTCCCATGTGGACCATTTCTACACAGTGCTCGTCGCCCTTATTTATAAGTCTACCATGATATACTTTCGCCCCGAGGGTCATTTCCCACTTTCCTTGCCTACCTTGTATCTGAAACCCCACCTTATCCAGTACCTCACACCAGATTAAGATTTCATATTTATCAGTTAATTCCACTAACACATGGACAACTGCACCTATTTTAACCCCAGTGAGATTCTCAAGTTCCCATACATACTCTCCCAATACTCTGCAAGGGCCGCTCAAAGTGATTATGAAACATTTACATACCTTGAATTAATACTTACCATCCAACCTTTTCAACACCCCTCTGGCTGATCACAGTACTGGTACTCCCAGTATCGACAGCGCTCTAATCCCGTCGCTGTACCCCTGCACTGCACTATGGACAACCTCACCTAAACTCCCCATACGCTGTTTACTAACTGTTGCCTTCCTGGGTTGCCCTCGACTTCTCAGATACTAGTAGTTTCATTCTGTGTGTCGATTTTTTTGGGTTTGTACTTCTGACTTGTCTGTTCACCCGCTTTTTCATCCAATTTTGACCAACTGTGCTTATGGTCACCTTCTTCATCACTAGAGAGCTTTTTCCGGAATATTCTTCTGAGCTCGAAGTTGAAGTATCTCTAGAACATATCATTGAGTGGGTGTTTACCTTCATGGGCTCTGGAGCTGGATTCCTCCTGTAAATCAAAGAACAAGGCCATGAGGCGTAGAATGTTTCTGTCCATCTCTATGGCTTGCAGCCATAATCCATGGATCTAGACCGATTTGTCACTGTCCTTGAACCCTGAGTCAGTGGGAAGGATACTGCCAGATTGGCCCCAAAGAGATCGGCTATGGAGCTACGGATGGCCTGCCACTGCAGCATGCAGACCATGGTTCGTAACAACGTGAGATTGGGTGACCCCCTCCAGGCTATCTGTGCCCCTGCAAGCAATGTACGTCTGTAAGGAGACCACATCTTGCGGCCAAAGATCTTCAAGGTCTGTAGTGGTATCCAAAAAAAAAATAATACAATATACAGAAAAGACAGAAATCCAAGTTTTGTGTTTTTTTAGGTCAGCCATATTTTTTGTTGAATAGAAAGCGATAACTGAAGAAATATTTAATTTAAGTAATTAACAATTGTTTCACTGCAAACTAGATAAAAATTTCTTTAAATAAAAATAGAATTTGTCATTGTTCAAACCATTCAAAGAGGACTTTTGAGCGGCTAAACATGGCTAAGTTCTGTTTTTAAAAATATAAATTATTGGGGATTTTTTGCTATCATTATCCATTTATACAGATACCCCACTTTTAGAAAAACTTCTTTATTTAATAAGCTTCAAGTTCATATTAATTAAATTAAGGTTTATTAGGCGAATTCTTGAGATTCACTTCAAGTTGTGTAAAGAAATGATGTCAACTTCTATCAAGTCACCTGACAGTGCTCCTGTTTTCAGCAAAAATGACTACAATTAACTATTGCAAAGCTTTTATTTTTTTTTTTTTCTTGATCTAACACAGATCTTTCTCATAGGAATTGATTTGTATTGATAAGTAACAAATTTAATGTTTGTAGTCCTAAAATTTAAGTTTAAAACAAAAAAAAATGCTACAAATTGCTTCAATTATTTTCATAAAAACATAAATCTTAGTACTAGAGATCGACCGATACTGATATTAATATCGGCTGATATTAAACGCAGTTTTATCGGCTTTTTTTTCTCATCTCCTCAGATTTTCAGCAGATACCGATATCCTAAAGACCAAAATATCGGCCTTATGACCTTATTTAATGAGATTGGTAGAAACCTCTTCCACATTGAATATTATTTTTATTTTCTATAAATATGTCAATCATTCGTCAAGGGATAAACATAAACATAAATTTGATCAAAGACAGATATATCGGCCTTATGGCCTTGTTTTATTGATTGATAGAGATTGACTGACTATTTTTCTTTTTTTTTTTGCTCATCCTCTCCTCAGATTTTCAGCAGATATGGATATCCTAAAGACTGATTTATCGCCCTCATGATCTTATTATATTTAGACTAGTAGAGTTTGACTGACTATTTTTTTTATTTTTATTGCTCCTCCTCTCATCAGATTTTCAGCAGATAAGGATATCCTAAACACCGATATATCAGCCTTATGACCTTATTTTAATGAGATTGGTAGATTGGACCAATTTTTATTTAATTTATTTTTTCTATTACTCCCCTTCTCCTAATTTGAGCAAATAATGATATTCCAAAGATCAATATATCGGCCTCACGGGACCTTATTTAATCAGGATTAGTAGATTTTTCTGTGGAATATTATTTATATTGCTAATAAAGGTGTCAATCAGTCACCAAAGAATCGACTTAAACATAAATTTGAGAAGATACCGATATTCCAAAAACCTATATACCGGCAGCCTGATGACTTCTTTTTATCGAGATTGGAAGAATTTTACTATTTTCTTTATTTTAATTTGTCCTTCCCTTCCCCTCATTTGAGCAGGTGGCGATATTCCAAATACTGATTTATCTGCCTTATGACATTATTTTAACAAAATTGGTAGAGTTTGATTATTTATTTATTAGTAATTTTTTTTTTGGTCCTCCACTTTCTTTAATTTGAGTATATACCGAAATTCCGGTTCTACTTTTTTATTTTGATCAGTGATATTTTAATATAATATTTTGAATGAAATTCTTTGAATCTCAATAAAACATTGTTATGAGGCTGATATATCAGTCTTTGCATTATTGGTATCAGCCCTAATTAGGGAAAGGCAAGGACCAGAAAAAGAAATTACATAACATATTTTCAAACTCTACCAATCTCAGTAAAATAAGGCCATAAGGCCGATAAATTGGCCTTTGCTCAAATGTATGTTTATGTATATATGAATCATGATAAAATAATAATAAATTATAATAGTTTATGAATTATAATAAATTAAAATTGTAAGGCCGATAAATCGGTCCAATGGAAGTACTATGAAATTAAACTCCATCAATCTTGACTAAATAAGGTTCTGAGGCCGATCTCTGTTTTGATATATCAGTCTTTGATCAAATTTATGTTCATGTCAATTCCTTAACGATTGATAGACACAGTTATTCGCAATATAAATAATATTCCAAATTAAATTTTATGAATCTCGATAAAGTAAGGTCGTAAAGATTGTATATCGGTCTTTAGAATAATGGTATAAGCTCAAATTTTGGGGACAGGATGATAAAAAAAAAATGTGTATGTGTATATATAAATACATACATACATACATATATATATATATATATATATATATATATATATATATATATATATATATAAAACTTAAGATATGAATTATAGTCGGATAATAGGTCATGAAATTTCATATATATCCTCAATTTGTATACATATATATCTTTTCTTATCTTAATCTCTGTGGTTTTTTTATAGTTTACAATACCATTGCGTATTGTATAACATATATAAATAATTTATTTTCTTTTAAACATTTTTTTTTGTTGTAATTGTTTTCTCATAAAATTAATTTAATGCCCCTTCCTTCCTAATTGTATTTATCTATTGATTCTTATTTTATATCTCTTATGTCGAGATAATGCAATATTGTGCTCCCGTTGCTCATCTTCTGTCATTAATATATCTTTAATCTATATATATATATATATATATATATATATATATATATATATATATATATATATATATATTTTGTAAGTTTTAGTTGTTTGGGTTTTAACATAACAAGTCAATACTTTTCATTTACGCATTTTGATTATACGCATTATTTTGATATTTTTTCTTTTCTGGAGGTTTTGCTTTTTTTTCTATACATATATATATTTTTTTTTCCAGGACAATTGTAAGAATAGTTGAGAAGATTTTATTTTACTTTTTTTTTACATACTATTATTTAAGTTATTGTATATTTTGTTTAAATCTTTATTAAGTTAGTTTTTGGCCAGATATGTATTTTTTCTTTTGTAACTCTTCAATATTGTTATTTTAAGAGGACATCGTCCCAGAATAAAGTTTATTTTCTATTCTATTTTTATTCTATTCTATATATCGGTTTTTAGAATATTGGTATCGGCTGAAATGTATATATAGATTTAGCCCTAGATGATTGATAGATACTTTCATTCAGTATTTACGAGAATTTTCTGTGCAACGATGTACGGTACCAGACATTTATAAAACGAAAGGCCAATATGCTAAAATATAAGTTTATCTCTCTTATTGTTCAAAATTTGTCTACAAGGTGATGTGTAGATGGTCTATTGATTCTATTATTTAGAAATGAGTATGATATTTCACATGGAACTATACAAATTTTAAAGAAAAGAGGATTAAATAAAAAAAAAAAAAGGAAATTAAAAATAATAATTATTACATGATTTTGTGAAAAGAATAATTATCTATTTCAAACCCTGATTTTAATAAAACTAATTTGATAGTAATACTTTAAAGATATAAATAACAATATAAATATATACATATATACCTACCTGGGTTTTGAAATACTTGAGTTCATAATTTCAATTATTTTGGACTTAGCATCATAACCAGCTTGAATAGCTTCCATTATGATCTTTAAAGGGACGCCTGGAATTTTTATATCTGCTTGTAAAGCTGTAAAACCCTTGTTAGTACCAGCAATTTTAAAATCCATATCACCCATATAATCTTCAATACCCTTAAATAATACATGAGGTAATTGAATCAGTAAACCACTAATTTGAAATAATGTAAAAAGATAGTTAAATGACTTGATTTCTTTAAGAACTTTCCTTAAGCTAACAAAATTGTAAACAATTAACTCACTAAAATAAAAATTTATGACAAGTTAAATGACTTGATTTCTTTAAGAACTTTCCTTAAGCTAACAAAATTGTAAACAATTAACTCACTAAAATAAAAATTTATAATAAAGTCAGAAATTCATCAATAATTAAATCTGTAGCATATTCTAAATTTGATATTTTAGTGAAGTGTAAATTAGTTCATATTTTCTATTGCAATTTAATTGTCTAAATCATATGGTTGAAAAAGAACATATGTTATTATTAGTTAGTATGTAAACAAGTTGTGAGTTGAGTTAAGAAATTAATTAAAACATTTATTTTGATTTATATGTTAAGAATATAATAAAATCAATGTTAAAATAAAAGGTCTTTAATTACCGAGTGTTTAATTCAACAAAATTAAAAGGTCAAATTAATAACATTGAAATCTTAATGATATGGAGATTTCATTCTGTTCTTAAGATATAGAATATCTAGAACACAATTTGATAAAAATATTTAGAATATTGTTCTGAAACATATATTAAATCATACTTAAAACTGATTAAAACACATGTCAGATTAACTAAGTCATGTCAGCAACTAATTTCTGTAAAAAATAACATGGAAAATAAGTAAAAGGAATTATAATTTAATTAAATGTAAAATTAGCTGAATAAATTGTCATACCAAAATATCAGTTAAAATTTTGTAGTTATTAATATGCTTTGTATCAGTACCATCATACTGAGTTACAAGGCCAATAGCTACACCTGCAACAGCGTTAGAAATCGGCACTCCAGCATCCAGTAATGCTAAACTACCACCACAAACAGTTGCCATCGAAGATGAACCTGAAATATTTATTTGAAGGCTTAATATAATGAAATCCATTTATAACATTTGGATATTTTTTTAAAAATACAAACCATTAGATTGTAAAACTTCAGAAGTTAGCCTAATTGTAAACGGAAAATTTGGTGGTATAACTGGTCTTAAAGCCTTTTCTGCAAGGGCACCATGTCCTACTTCACGTCGAACAGTAGTTCCAACTCTACCAATCTCTTTGGTTGCATAGGGAGGAAACTCATAATGCAAGAAAAAATTCTTTTCTTTCAAACCACTGTAGCAAAGAGAGGAAAATTCTAGAAACCATTTATAGTAAAAATAATTAAAATAAAAGATTTAAAGTTTGAGAAACCTTTTAAAAATACTTGATAAAATTAAATTATGACAACTTTTTTTACGTGATTAATGATGAAACAGGATCCATATGCAAAACTGAATTTTGAGAGTCTAAAGCTATTGTACATAATACTTGTGTTTGTCCTCTTTGAAAAAATGCTGAACCATGAAGAGGCTTAAACATATCAACATCACATTTAATATTTCTTAGTTGATCAAGTTGTCTACCATCACATCTAAAAAAAAAATTTAAGATAATTTTTTAACTATATAAAAAATATGAAAATTGTAACTTTTATCAATACCACCATTCCTTATCTATGAAATTGTGTGAAAGATTGTATCATAATCCTATAATTATTTATAAAAGTTAATCAATTTTGAAATCTAATTTATTAATATATACTAAAATTAAAAGAAAAAGCATTAAATTATTTTGGCAATATAAATTAATATGTCAGTATTACTAGAAATATACTAACCAAATGTTACATACATCTACAAAAATATATTCTATATACAGATAAAAAATAAACTAGTAATACAATAAATCAAAAACACCCTTCCCCCTCCACACCAAACAAATAAAACCAAAAAGAACACCAGAAATCAGATACACATTTGGATTGGAAGCTTATGAACACTATTATTACTTGGAAGACATTTTATAATCATCATGAGTAGACTCAGTAAAGCTGTATCAAAGTAGTAAAAAAAAATAGGATTTTGCTTAAAATATTAGGGCCATTAAAAAAAAAAAAAAAAATTCCTTGAGAGAAGGCAGTTAGATCCCTGAGACAGTACTTTTCTAACATCTCAATACTCCTTCCATCTCAAGTAACTAAACAACTTTAGAAGTATTGTTCATGTATTTATTTTGTTTTTGATTTATAAATGTCACCTTATATTGTTACCCTACAATATAATTTAAGTATGCATTTTTGCAGGAAATTTAATTTTCAACAACTTTCTTCCTCATGAATTTTTTCTTAGAATAGAAAAATAAAGGGGAAAAAGAGGGGGGGAAAGTGCAACAAAAAAAGACAAACAAGTTTTTTTTTCAAAATTAGAGAATTATGAGAACAGATATCTTGGAAACTATGCTAGATAGCAAACAAAATAATATAATCACTTCTGTTGCAAATTTTGTCAGCTTTAATTTTATAGAACATCCTTATCCTAAGGACACATAGTTTCTATGATATAAGTGGGAGACCTAAACAAGTGACACCAAGGAGAGGGGACTTTTAGTATGTTTATTTCCTAACTTGCTCTAAACAAAGTTCCAAAGTCAAAAATTGTATTTATTCCATTTCCCTCTAAAATCATTCATTGACTGGACTAATATACCTTCTTGTCTGTTGCTAAGGATCAATAGTACTCTACTAATAAAAGTAACTAATGAGCAAAATAAAATATTATCGGGACTTACACAAAAATATAAGTGTTTAAGTTCAGTAATATTTTTATCAAAATTTATTTGAACTATTTTTTTTTTCAAATAATATTATTTATTAAAATGCTTTGGACCTGATATAAAATTATTTAATATTATACATATTCAATTTGAACCGATCATTTTCTTTAATTTAATTTTTCAATTTGAATTTTAAAATGCCTTTATCATTGCTCTCTGTTTAATTATACATTTTACAGATGATTGTTCCTCACAGCAACAATCAAGATGAAGTCTTAATAATGTAAACAATCAATTAAAGCTAACTATTTCATTGTATAAATTGTACAAAATTTGTATAAAGTTGTAAGTTAATTTTTTATTGGACATTCAACACTTACAGAACAAATTCCCAAATTATTTATGTCAATGAAGATTGAACAGATAAATGTTACATATTCTTAAATGTCCAAAAAATAAACGATAACAGATATTAGGCTGATGATAAAAGATATAGTCAACTTAGAATTTAAAATACTAATGTTATCTGTATTTAAATGAGGACACCAACCAAACCGTTACTATAGAAAGTAAATTAGAACAGTGCCATATTTCTTGCAAATATGTGCATTACGGTGTCCCTTTTAATGTGAATTTCACTGAACTACTGAATCTAAGATGTCAAGTCCCAGGACAATTTTTTTTTTTTTTTTCATTTTCATTACTAATGTAGTCATTCTGACAAAATCCTTCATTTCATCACTGGCCAACCTTGGGGATTATTAAAAAATTATAAGCTTTGATAATTTAAAGCCAATCATACATCACTTCTATAACATATTTTGACCAAATATCATCATAGAAACAATTTCCTAAAATCAAAGATAATGCAATTACTATGTAATTATTAAACATTCACCTAATGAACAATATCATAAATTAGTCCAATTATTACAAGAACTTATCAGAAACAATTCCAATTACTTTTCTCATATTAATAAATATCATAGTGATTGAAAGTTTTAAAATAATTCATTCACTTTAGTTTTATTTATTGGTTCCTGAACGAACAATTCAAAAAGTAGTTGACAAGTGGGTCAAGATCACATATATCAAGGAATTTTGAAATTAGACAGATGTGTCTTTAGAAGCACCAAAAACCAAGTCGAAAGGGGAACAATCTCAACATATAGATGCACCAACCATTTAATGAGGGGAACTAACTTTGCATCTTCACTTATAAAGTGCGAAGAAATTAACAGATAACATTTAAGTATATTATTACATCACTTTTATGCAGCTTATATGTACATTATACAGCTTTAAAAAGAAAAAAAAAATAAACAAAAATCTCTTACTATATTGGGTCATCCAGAAAATAATGCAGGATTTTGATTTTTGTTTAAAATACCTCTCTATATAATAAACTGTTTATGTTTACTGGATTATTCATTTGTATGAATCTCAACACTTATTAATCCTCTTCCAAATGATAATGTTTGTTTACCTGTGTTTCATTTTGCTGCTTAGAAATAATTCAGTCTTTATTAAGATTTCAACGCTTGATTTTCGTATAATTTTGTTTTACGAGTTTAAACTCAGCAAGAATGGGGCCCAGACGGCCAGAACCATCAATCAAGCCATGGGTGAGAGCAACATTAATGAGTGCATGGTTCAACAGTGGTTCGAAAAATTTCAGGAGGGAGACTTCAGCCTTGAAGACAAAGAAGGTCGTGGAAGGACTTCCTCTCTTGATGACAATGTTCTGCGGGCTTTGGTGGAGGAAAACCCTAGAACAACTGTTTGAGAACTTGCAGAGAAACGTAACCGATTGGAAAGGTAAAAAAAGCTTGAAAGTTGGGTTCCACACACATTAAACAACCGCCAAAAAAAACAACAGCGTTATGAAGTTTGTACTAAACTTCTTTGCCAAAACAGAAACAACCATTTTCTGTCCAGAATTGTTATTTGTGATGAAAAGTGAATACTTTACGTTAGACGTTTTTGACAGTGGCTTGACAAAGGAGAAGCAGCAGAACATTTTCCAAAGCCTCATGAAACTCATGAAAAAAAAGGTGATGGTTACTGTTTGGTGGGATTCATTTGGTTTGAAGCTCTACAGCTTCTTAAATCCAGGAGAAACTATCAATGCCGAATTGTATTGTAACCAAATTAATGTAATGCATCAGAAATTGGCAATAATGAAGCCATTTTAGGTCAATTGGAAGGGACACATTTTGTTGCATGACAACGCACGGCCAAATGTCTCATTTGTGACATCACAAAAACTGTTGCTGGAGCTTGGATATGAAACTCTGCCACATCTGCCCTACTTTCCAGACCACTCGCCCACAGATTATCATCTTATTAGACACCTGGACCACTACTTGAGTGAGAAAAAATTTAATGGACAAAGGAAATTAGAAAATGTGTTTTTGGGGTTTATCAATTCTAATGATGGGAAATTCATTCCGAGGGAATGGAAAAGTTTGGCAGAAATATATTGATAGTAATGGAGACAATTTTAATTAAATAAAACAGCTGGAACTCTTTCTTTTTAAACCAAAATCCTGTATTATTTTTCAGACAACCCAATAATACTAATGAATGTTATTTCATAATATAAATGTTTGTCAATTGATAGTTGCCACTATTAGGTATCATAGAAAGTCCAGATATGCTTTATCACCTGTAATCTCCATTAGATTCAATTTTTATTAGAGAATAAATAACAAGGTAAATACAATCTATATGTCTATGACCAATGGTAATCATAATCATGCGCCCTAGTACTTTTTCGAAATACTAAGCACAATAATCATAGGTTGTCTACAAAAGTCCATCAGCCAGGTTCCCACCCAAAAAAAAAAAAAATTAAGAAGACAAAAAAAAAGGTAAAATAAAAGTAAAAATCTTTCATCAAAAATATTTATTAATAAAGATCACAATGACTGAATAACTAACAATGCATTTCAAACCAAACTTAAATGTGTTCCAAATATTAAGACATCAATGTCATAAAATATTGACTATTATCTTCAATGTTAAAAATTGTAAAGGTTTTGCAATACCTCCAGCTAACAGAGAAAAGGTGGAAGGGGTAAGGAACTCTAGAAAAATTCATTACTAAATTATGTGACATGATTACTTTATTCTTAATATACATAAAGAAATTCTAGGAACAAATTATCCGAGAAAACTATTAATTATGTAATGCTGGTTTTAATTATTTGAGTAAGAATATAAAAATTGTTTCAGATATTCATAATACTGAGGTCCATTATTGGATTATTGAAGGCAATTTTTATGAAAATACTATCAATTGTAATCTATGTTTAAGTATTGATTTATTTAACTTTTCAGATTTCCTCAATATAATGTCCTATTCTTATCTTTTCAGAGGCATACATTTTGAGAAAAGTATCAATTTTAAAATTTTCTATCGCATATAGATTTATTTTAACTTTATGTTGTTTTTTATAAATAACAGGAGTCCATTGTTATATTTTAGGAGGTGTAAGTTTTCAAATAACGAAAATTTCAATACTGCATCATTGCCTATTGGTTTCTTTCAACTTCCCACATTCCACCACATTAGGCTCATTACAATGTTATTAGAGGCTCTTTTTATGAAACTTAAATCAATTTTAACATGAGACCGGTCACGAATAGTTTTATATTAATTTAACTATTTTGTTTTCTTTGATTATAAGTTCTATTATTATAAATTTATATATTTTGATAAGATCTTGGATAGAAAGTACATCTAGCATCTAATTACTGCGAATAACTGGATTAGGCAATATTATTAGTAAATTTAGACAAACCAATGAATGTTGT